TTTTTAAAAATTTAGCCTTAACCTAGTTTTTTCATTTTTTCAATCAAAAGAGCATCTATATACATAATTTTTCTTTAAATTTATAAAAAAAAGCTATTAAATATATCAAAAGTTTTAATTAGTGTCTCAAAGAAAGTGTGTCTAAAAAAGAGTACAATTTAGCCCAATGAAGAGTTATTTCAATTTTTATAAAAAATACAGTATCTCAACTGATAAAATAACGTTCCGAAACTGTTAAATTACAACACGGCGTCTTCTCCACTTAAATACCGGGCATAGTTGCCAAAATAACGCCTCCGTTAATACCGTATATCGTTGCCATATCTCTAATAAATGCCCTCTTATACGATAGTTAAACGGCAATAAAAGAACTGGGAGCATTCAAAGCCATCAATTCAAGTTAGTTAAATAAAAGCCTAGAGAAGCTGAAAAATTAGGCAAAGAAAATAAGGTCCTCCTACTCTATGTGCCTGCCCACCAAGGGATAGAAGGTAATGAAAAAGCAAACTTCACTAACTGGACCAGAACTATTCTGCTTCCCAAGTAGAGACCAATGTGAAATACCAAGTGTGTGGTACACATTATTCGTAAAAAATGCTTTTTCCAAATATGCTAATGAGCCACCCTTGTTCCATTTGAAACAATTGAAATATGATTCAAAACGCGATTTGGGCATCTTTTAACCAGCCAGGGCAAGACACGGAAAACATTAGACGATCAAATCTATTTTTCCAAGGCTCCTTGATTAAAAAGTAGTGTTTTAACACAGCCATGGAACTCCAGATTGAAATTTAAAATTACTTTTTAAGCAAACATTTCAAAAGTTATCCTATTCGGATTGTTCATTGTTCATTTTAAAGGTAGTAGTCATTTCCGGTGAAACAGGAAGTTACCAAGAACACTTGAATACATCAATCAATCCTAATTTATGTCCTATATTAAAATACCAAATGTCGTTTTTTTATGTGAAAAAAATTAAAAAGTTATAGAAATGAGCCACTTTTGAGACGCACTCGGTATAATCATGAAATTTGGCGATTTTGATCAAGTTGATAAAACTACTGTTATTTACTACACACATCGGAAAAATCTAGGGATATCATTTTATTAAAGTTAAAAATAAATGTTTTGAATAAACAACCACATATTTGTAGGCCGATTCTTTCTACTTCGATTGAAACGAAGTAGTCACACTAGTTATTTCTAAATTTGGGATAATTGTTCGAATTTAACCTGTACTGGCTATGTTTTTATGATAACTGGCCAGAATTCATTCAAATAACTCTGTTTAGTATTAAACGACATTATGGAGCGTAGACATCTTAACAGAGACGAAATGCTAAGGACCATGGGTATGCTCGAAGCTGGAATGAGCCAAATCGACGTAGCTAGAGCATTAAATACAACGCAAAGTGTAATATCGCGATTAAGTGCACGCTATCGTGAAAGTGGTGATGTTGCTGAAAGGCACACAGGGCGACATCGCATTACTACCCCTCAGCAAGATCTTTTTTTACAATTAAATGCTCGACGCCGACCGACTCTTACAGCACCAGAGCATAGTTTAATTCTCCAGGAAACACATAATGTAACCGTTAGTCCTGACACTGTTTGCGATAGATTAAGGGAGGTCAACTTAAGAAGCAAACGCCCCTGGAGAGCTCAACCTTTAACTAGATGAAATCGAGAGGTACGATATTTGAGGGCTCAAGATCATGTCCAGTGGTCGAATGAACAATGGGCCAATGTTCTCTTCACGGATGAGTCACGCTTTGGAATTCATCCGGATTCAAGAATGCTTAGGGTATGGAGAGAACTGGGAAATCCTATTCGGTTGGATCATGTTCAGGAAGTGCACCCTTATCAAGGTGGAACAGTTATGGTCTGGGGAAAAGTCCAGTTAGGCCGAAAAACCGATCTCGTTTTTCTTGAAAGGTTTCTAACAGGAATCACATATCGTGATTTAATTCTTGAGCCTGTCGTGTTACCATATGCCAATGATTTTGGGAGAAACTTCATTCTCATGCATGACAATGCACGGTCTCATACAGCCAGAGTGGTAAGTGAGTTTATCAATGCTCATCAATTAAACATCTTACCCTGGCCGGCACAATCTCCTGACCTCAACCCCATCGAGCACGTATGGGACGCGGTCCAAAGAAGAATGTTGAGAATGGGTATGCCTCGTGAAACTCGTAGGGATCTGGTTCGAGCCGTGAATGCAGCGTGGCAGGCTGTACCTCAAGAAGAGATCGACAACCTTATCAGGCGCAAGGAGAGACGATGTAGGGCTGTAATGAACAGTAGAGGAGGCCATACCCTTTATTAAGTAAAAATGGTTTTATCCTTTTTTTTTTAATTCACAGTTTAGAATTTAAAAAAAATGTGTTTATTTTTTTGAGTTCGATAAAAATCAAGGCAAATTTGAAAAATTCGGTAAATTTCGCATTTTTATTTCCAATACGTCCTGTAAACTATTTGTTTATTTTAATTTTATTATATCAGAAATGCAAATAATAAAATTACTGACGATGGCTGGATAAAATTGTAATATCCCTAGACTTTTCCGGTGTGTGTAATTGAAGAGCGGAGAATAATGTAGATGAGTGATTAACTTTGTCAGATAATTTAAGTTTATTTTGCAACAAAAAAGATATAAAACAAGATTAAACAATCTGATTAATCTCATTTTGCTACGGAATACAACATTAGAATAAACATATTAAACATAAGAATAATAGCAATGGTTTCTTAACCTAATTTATTTGGAATAATAAAAAAGAAAGATTGAAAAATGATATTATTATAAAAATCGAGATAAAAATAAACACTTATTTATTAATAAATATAAATAAAGTAAAGAACAGTGTTTAATTTGATAGAGGTGGATGTTATCCTTAGTTAAATAAGCTATAAAAATTTGTTTATCCCAAATGTGAGTCCTCTTGCTAATTTATCAAATTACAATGTAAAAAAAATTAAAGAGGTTTACATTTTACCAGCTGTTGACAGTCGTACTAGGCATAACGTACAACATAAGAAGACTAAGATACGACTTGTACATGAGACTTTAATCCCCTGTCTCATAAAGAAGTAATCTCGGGCTACTAAAAACCGCGCTGACATACCATACGATGCCATATGTTTTTCACATTCTCCAAGATTTACGACTATAGTAATTTTATTTTAAGCTAGGTGTTAACTGTATATTTAGAAAAAAATCATTATGATTTACACATTTTGTAATAAAAATAGTTAGTTAAAAAAATGCAAATTCGTATTTAATATAATTGAATTCTCTTTTAATTGAAAAAAAAATAAAGTAAAATTATAAAGACCTAATCATATTCATGATACTACGAGTCACTAAGTCTGTCGGTATCAGAAGAGGACCACAATAGTGAAACAGGCCGATATCTACTTCAATAAATTTATAATCTAAATAAAAAATGTCTATATCTATGTGGCGGATTCATCTATCCAAAAAATTTTGTAAACACTTCTGCGTTAAACCTAAACGGACGCTGCTTGTCAGAAGTTGTGTTTACAGTAATAAAAATTTGCCTAACAAAGAAAAAAAATGCTAAACGTTTCGGAAAGTTTTCTCTTTCCGTCGTCGGAAGCAAAAAAATATAAAGAATCAAGAAAAAAAAAATATTTTAAATATTTAAATTGAACTATTCGAGAACACTCCACTTTTTAAAACAGATACGTCTACAAGAAATCGTTGACGTTCTGTTAAAATGACATTATATTAAGTTAAACTTCAAAATTAACAATTACTACCTGATAATTACTTAATAAGGTAAAACCAAAAAGCCCAAACGTTCTGTATGATTATTTTTAAATTTCACGTATGTTATGTTTATTTATGTAATGTTCTTTAAAATCAAAGAAGCGATTGCCATACATTACTAACATCTACAGATGCATGAGCAATACATTTATTTTTATTAGATTGAATTAAAGAAGCCTCTTTTATTTTTCTTTTAGAGGCTATCGCTTCTTTCATTATAATTTTGGCGTTATTAAAATTTATTCTGTGCCCTGTGTCCCATGAATGCTGACAAATCTTAAAAAAATAAGAAGGATAGGAAAACAATATAACATACAAACATCTTTCAAAACACAAAATACACTTAGATCAATTTTATCACATACTAAACCAATGAATACAGAACCACAAAGAAAAAATGTAATATACCAAATACCCTGTGAATGCGATAAATTTTACATTGGTGAAACATCTAGACCCTTAAATGTTAGAATTAAAGAACATAAAGGTTATTTAAGAAAGGGAGATTTTCACAAATCTAAGATTTGTCAGCATTCATGGGACACAGGGCACAGAATAAATTTTAATAAAGCCAAAATTATAATGAAAGAAGCGATAGTCTCTAAAAGAAAAATAAAAGAGGCTTCTTTAATTCAATCTAATAAAAATAAATGTATTGCTCATGCATCTGTAGATGTTAGTAATGTATGGCAATCGCTTCTTTGATTTTAAAGAACATTACATAAATAAACATAACATACGTGAAATTTAAAAATAATCATACAGAAAGTTTGGGCTTTTTCGTTTTACCTTATTAAGTAATTATCAGGTAGTAATTGTTAATTTTGTAGTTTAACTTAATATAATGTCATTTTAACAGAACGTCAACGATTTCTTGTAGACGTATCTGTTTTAAAAAGTAAAGTATTCTCGAATAGTTCAATTTAAATATTTTAAATAGTTTTTTTTTCTTGATTCTTTATATTTTTTTGCTTCCGACGACGGAAAGAGAAAACTTTCCGAAACGTTAAGCATTTTTTTCTTTGTTAGGCAAATTTCTATTACTGTAAACACAACTTCTGACAAGCAGCGTCCGTTTAGGTTAAACGCAGAAGTGTTTACAAAAAATAACTATTTTATTTTGTAGATTTTTCTTGCAGTGCAGTGGCGAAAAACCCATAAGGATTTTTTTTGGATAGATATAATCGAAATGTTACTAACTTACCAGCAATGGTATTGAGGAACATCAAATACTCAAAATTGGATATTTCTCTTCGCTGCCACTTTTGCGTCATGTTCGAGTTTCTCATCAACTGTCTAGGAGACATCATGCTAGCTTTCCTGTGTTGTCCTATACCGTACTTTATGCCAACACCGACTTTTGGAAGGGCATTGATCACCTTTTTCACAGTATTTTGATCCGGAAATGCGAACATAATAGACGCTGAAAGTATATATTATTATAATAGATATTTAAGTTTGTAAGTTCGGTAAATCAACTTATACGGTATGAGTGAGATGTCTATCAAGAATTTCGAAACGAATACTGTAAAAGTTAATTGCGGACGAATGAGGTACAATGTTTTATTTCAAATTGTTTGGACAAAACATATTATGCTTTTAAATAATTGAGAATTTTTTAATCGGCTTATGATATTTAAAAAAGGCGTCCTCAAAGCAAACCCTGTTGACCGAGACTTTGAGTATTTTTGCTTTGTCTTTTGCACTTATGATATGTTCCGATACTATTTATTGTATTTACTGGTAGAAATATTTTCAATACTGACATAAAATTTGAATTTGGAGCAGAATGCTTTGGAATATCCACGCAAAGCAGCTGTTGTAGATTTACTTACATCAAAGTCACTTAAAAACAGTGCTATTAAAGGAATGTATTTATTTAAAAAAAACTGATAAAATGGAATAGATAAAAACTAAAAATCTGATTGACAGAGAAGTTTTGGAAAAATCTAACGAGGCTGCAGGGAAGTTGCAAAGTATGTAAAGCTGTATTTTACTATACCGGGTACGTCACGACAGTGGCTCACCCCTATAACTTTTTTATTTTTTCAGATAAAAAAACGAGATTTGGTATGTTAGTATATGACATAAATTAGGATTGATTGACGTATTCAATTGTTTTTGGTCACTTCCTGTTTCACTGAAAATGACTACAACTATTGATTTTTAAATGGCGCCCTCGGTTTTTTTATACTTTACTGGATTGAAAATGACATTCTGAATAGAATGACATATCATATGTCAACTTTTGACATTCTCGCTTAAATCAAAATTAAATTTTAAAATTCAATCTAGAGTGCCACGGTTATATTAAAAATACTAATTCTTAATCAAGGAGTCTTGGAAAAATAGATTTGATTGTCTAATGCTTTTAATGTCTTGTCCTGGCCAGTTAGAAAAGGCTCAAATGGTATTTTTAATCATATTTCAATTTTTTCAAATGGAACGAGGGTGGCTCATTAGCATATTTGGAAAAAGCATTTTTTTACAGGAATTGACAGAAAACAATTGAATACATCAATGAATCCTAATTTATGTCATACCAAATCTCGTTTTTTTAACTGTAAAAATAAAAAAGTTATAGGGGTGAGCCACTTTTGAGACACATCTGGTAGAGTATGAGATAAATAACTCTATTCTTTTTGCTTAAGTATTTAAAATAGATTTCAGTAAAAGAAATACTGGATTTATTACTATAAAATAAAAAGAGTTGGTAGAACTGAGCCACAAGAGGCCCTCGCGACCGCAGTGAAGGGTCCCAATCTGGGACTCACTCTTAGTAAATACTATAAAATCTTCTTTTCCGGATTGAAATCAAGTATGGAAAGATTTGTTTTATGACACAGTATGAAACAAATATCATGTAAGTTTATAACTGTATATTGTTATAAAAAGTACTTACTCCGACTGGCAAGGAATATCTCGATGGCATTGTTCTGGAGTAGGTACCGTCTGGAAAATATTGCTCGTACTTCGGAAAAGTACCATTTTCCATGGAGGTGATCGCAGTACTTCAAAACCTGTAAAAATAGAATCATTGATCAGAAGTTCTAAAGAAACAAATCAAAAAGTTTTATGATCAGGGGTAACGGTCAAAAACACCGGTTAAGCAACGTTAGACGATGAGAGTGGATGGACGGGTGGTCGTCTGGAAAACAATCGTGCTGTTGTTCCGGGAAGTTTTGTACTATCAAGATGAGCAATTTAAGTAATAATACGACTTTTTTTAACCCACTTTATTTATTTCTATAGGCAATTGCCCTGTCTGTGGATAATTAAAAGTAAAGTTTATTCAAACAGACAGGAAAAAACTAAAGCTTATGAAAAATTGCAGGAATTTTATAAAACTGTTGATACAAATGCTACTATTGATTCTGTAAAGAAAAAAATAAACAATTTGCGAAGTGCTTTCCTAAAGGAACTTAAAAAAGTGCGAAAATCAAAGCGTTCAGGTAAAGCTTTTTGTATTTTTCTTTGATAATAAAGGCTTAACCATCTTTAAAAGTTCATTAAAACATCTATCATTCATTCTGAGGTAGTTTTAAGGTCATCCGTTGAAGTAGTTCTTAATTTTCACACTAACTTCATGATGAGATAATGTATCACGTTGCAACAAACAATCTTTCACCCAGAAACGCTTGTTTGTCTTTGTGATTTGCTCCCTCAATAATAAAAGCACCAGAAGTACAGCTAGCTTTTTTTTGCTAGCGTTATTATTTAAAAATATTTTTCGCTGACTGTCAAAAAGGTCATTCGATTAAAACTGATTATGTTTGTGAGTGTTTTAAAAGCACAGTTTTCCTGCAGTTCAAAAACTGACAGTGTCCCAAAACTGAAGATCGCATCGTTTGACGTAACTGCATTGTGTGTGGTCTGACAAAGTTTAGATCTTCGGTTCAGACGAATTCAGATTCTGTAAAACCGTCTCAGATCAACATAGCATTGAGAGGGGGGACACAATAGATCTGCAAGGGCGCGGTGCTTACCGCGCCCCGTACCCGCGGGTGAGTCTTACTATTTAACTATCAATTTTATCCAGATCAGTAAATGTTTGTTTTGTTATTTTCATGTACAATGAGAGAGTGCTTGCCAATGACCAACTAAATGGATATTTGAGGTAAATTTGCATTGTGAGACCCGGTTGAGTAAGCCCCAAAAATAACGATTTTACAGTTGTTTTATCGCACTAATGGATAAAATATCACTTTAAACGCTCCATATGAGTGAAAAAAACGCCCATTATTGTAGGATTGTGGATAAAATAAATTTATATGCATGATATATAGGGAGAGTTCGCTTCGCTATAGATTATCTACAACGACGCGTTCGCTTACTTCCTGCTTAAATAAACACACGTACATATTTAATTAGATTTTACTACTAAGTACATCCAATAAACTCTGGCCAGAACATTTGCATACACGAATATAAATGTCGGAGTAATAGAAGTCGCCGAGCATAACGCTTCCTACAATTTAAAATTTCAACAACCAGAATGTATGCTCGTTAGTTATATTCAGGGATGGGTCGAGTAGAAATATTTATTTAGGTATTACAATTACGACAGTTTACTACACATCTGCTAAAAATTAAGTTAAACGGGTTGTAATCTTGTATTTCGCAACATATTTTTGATAAAGATAACTGCAGACGTGTTAGGTTAGGTTGTGATAACTGCAGACGTGTTAGTAATTTAAAATTGATCAAACGCATCTCAAATTATAGTAGAGAAGACCATGGATGCTAAATGGGGATTAACTTGAGCATTGTGTTGGATTATAGTGGTGAAAATTAAGAACACGAATTACAAAGAAAACTTTGATTCAGATATGAATAGTGTAGGAGCCCACGTGCTTCTGATAATGGAGGGATATTGATATTATTCTGCTGGTGTGTATAGTCCCAAACCTCTCACCATATGAATGTGTTTGGATCTAGAGATTAAAAGTAATGTTTCTCTATTTTGCTGTATTGAAAATCACGAAATTGCAGTGTCAAAAATTTTCGCATCAAAAAATACGAAATGTACGACCTAACATGTAAGTCTGGTGGGGCTTTCGTGACAGTAAATGACAGCCAGACGTGTATTTTCTATGAAATTATAGTATTATTTATCATGTGACAAATCCGGAAAAATAAAACGGAATTTGTAAATTCTGCAATTTTCAAGATGCCGCCAATTTCGTAAATCAACCAGACTTGCTTTTATTATACACACACCGGAAAAATCTAGGGATATCATTTTATTAAAGTTAAAAATAAATGTTTTGAATAAACAACCACATATTTGTAGGCCGATTCTTTCTACTTCGATTGAAACGAAGTAGTCACACTAGTTATTTCCAAATTTGGGATATTTGCAGAAGTGCATTTTTTGTCAAATGTATAAAAAGCACCTAGCATCAATTGTTCGAATTTAACCTGTACTGGCTATGTTTTTATGATAACTGGCCAGAATTCATTCAAATAACTCTGTTTAGTATTAAACGACATTAGGGAGCGTAGACATCTTAACAGAGACGAAATGCTAAGGACCATGGGTATGCTTGAAGCTGGAATGCGCCAAATCGACGTAGCTAGAGCATTAAATACAACGCAAAGTGTAATATCGCGATTAAGTGCACGCTAGGTGATGTTGCTGAAAGGCACACAAAGCGACATCGCATTATTACCCCTCAGCAAGATCATTTTTTACAATTAAATGCTCAACGCCGACCGACTCTTACAGCACCAGAGCTTAGTTTAATTCTCCAGGAAACACATAATGTAACCTTTAGTTCTGACACTGTTCGCAATAGATTAAGAGAGGTCAACTTAAGAAGCAGACGCCCCTGGAGAGCTCAACCATTAACGAGAGGAAATCGAGAGGTACGATATTTGTGGGCTCAAGATCATGTTCAGTGGTCGAATGAACAATGGGCCAATGTTCTCTTCACGGATGAATCACGCTTTGGAATTCATCCGGATTCGAGAAGGCTTAGGGTATGGAGAGAACCGGGAAATCTTATTCGGTTGGATCATGTTCAGGAAGTGCACCCTTATCAAGGTGGAACAGTTCGTTTTTCTTGAAAGGTTTCTAACAGGAATCACATATCGTGATTTAATTCTTGAGCCTGTCGTGTTACCATATGCCAATGATTTTGGGAGAAACTTCATTCTCATGCATGACAATGCACGGCTTCATGCAGCCAGAGTGCTAAGTGAGTTTATCAATGCTCATCAATTAAACATCTTACCCTGGCCGGCACAATCTCCTGACCTCAACCCCATCGAGCACGTATGGGACGCGGTCCAAAGAAGAATTTTGAGAATGGGTATGCCTCGTGAAACTCGTAGGGATCTGATTCGGGCCGTGAATGCAACGTGGCAGGCTGTACCTCAAGAAGACATCGACGCCCTGATCAGGAGCATGGAGAGACGATGTAGGGCTGTAATGAACAGTAGAGGAGGCCATACCCTTTATTAAGTAAAAATGGTTTTATCTTTTTTTTTTAATTCGCAGTTTAGAGTAAAAAAAAATGTGTGTAATTTTTTGAGTTCAATAAAAATCAAGGTAAATTTGAAAAATTCGGTAAATTTCGCATTTTTATTTCCAATACGTGCTGTAAACTATTTGTTTATTTTAATTTGATTATATCAGAAATGCAAATAATAAAATTACTGACGATGGCTGGATAAAATTGTAATATCCCTAGACTTTTCCGGTGTGTGTAGTTTATGATAGAATTAGATGAAACGTTAAAATTCAAGCATTGGAAAATAAGGGTTATTGATTTCAGAAATCTGTAAAATTTTTGCATTTGCAAATTTTCAGCCGACTGACTTTCCACCACTTGGCATGTGCCAGACTGGTCTTTCCAATAAAATGATTCACTTTAATAAATATCAAACATTTATGATTGGAAAAATAAGTGGGTTTTATGTTGTTTTATGTAGAAACCTCATCCGAAAATTTTAGCCGGACACATTTGGACAAATTGTCATTTAATGTCACTATCCCCGAACACACTATTATAATATATTCACCCACTGGGAAAATAAATACAAAAAAATTTCATTGCCTCCTGGACTAATCTGTGGTAACTTGATAGTTTAGAAATACAATAAATACGTATCAATTTACTACACATTACACATTAAATTACTATTTATCACTTTACTAATAGACTCAACCCTTGTTATATTCCTCAAAGTACATGGTACATAATAGATACATAACTTTACTCGAAGTTAGTTGTGTCGCGGTAGAGTAAGCCCGACAGGACTTGTTATTTAGCATCAAGCGAGTTAAACAAAATGGCGGCCGTAAAGCGAATGCCCGGCGAAGGCACAGAAATAAATTTTATTTATGAGACAAGGGGGGAAAATGGCAAGCCGAGATTGCTGGATGATATCGATCCGTTTGGGTTCGGCGAATAGAAATTGCTATGTGCGAGAATGCGCCGCGCTGTATACTCTAGCCTGAATAACCATCACTCTACAGCTACAATTTTCTGTGATTTCTCTAAGGCTTTCGACTGTGTAAATCATAATATCTTAATTAACAAATTGCAAAACTATGGATTCAGGGGAGTGCCGCTCGAATGGCTTAAGTCGTATCTTGGCGACAGAAGGCAGCTTGTGAGGATTGATACGTCTATGTCTTCTTGTAAGCCTATAGAATGTGGTGTCCCTCAGGGTTCAGTACTTGGCCCTATTTTATTTCTTGTGTTTATCAACGACATTGCAAATCTAGACATTAGCGGTAAAATCTGCCTCTTTGCGGATGATACTAGTTTCACTTGGAGCGGCCCAGATGTTACGGCACTATATGATACTATATCCAGTGACTTACGCACCATTAAATCTTGGTGCGATTCTAATCTCTTATGCCTCAACCTTTCAAAAACTAAAGTTTTGTCATATAAAAGTACTATACAACCTTTTGTACTTAATAACACCACTATTGACGTCGTGGACTCTGTGAGATTCTTAGGACTTGTTGTGGACAACTCTTTAAAATGGGACTTGCACATCGAAG